GTGTGTGTGTGTGTGTGTGTGTGTATACACAGAGAGAAAAAGAGAGAAAGATGTGCAGGTGTATATGTGCACATATATATGTATACATACACACACATATGTCACTATATATTTCACTTTAAAGTTGAAATTGCTCGGGTAGTAATTTTAACTTGATAGTTGGTAGCAGAAATAAACAAAACTTGGAAATGAAATGGATTGGGCTCAATTGGGGCAAGAAGCCAATTCACTATACCATTATCTACCTGCCTCACAGCTTCAAAATTTGAAGTGATCCAGTTAGTTTTGTTCTATTCTGTGAACCCTGAGCTCCAAACAGCAGTCTTGAAAGTATGAGGATTTGTGCACAATGGAACTAGAGTATTCTAAGATCAGTGTAAATTTATCCCCATTACTGAAAAAAATCATTCTAAGCATCTGCCTGATGACTGTCTGCATCTATTAGAAGTGCACACTGACAATGAGAGCTATGTGATGCGACCGTATCTGCCTATTTGTCCTGGCTACCAGGAAGCTCACAGTCACATGTGCTCAATCATAAGAAGGAGTTCATCCCTTTAACTGGCATATTTGGGTCCTCATCTTTCCATTGCCCCTGTTTCTTTTCTTTTTCTTTTAAGTCTGTCTACATTCTTTGGAAAACATTTAGGATATAAACAAATACAAAGAAAAGCTAGTGACAGGTAAACCCCTTATGCAATGTTCTATGTTTAATTTTAAAATCCTCCAAATTCAACATCAGTCTTGATTTTAAAAAACAAAAAACAAGCCTCACCACTCAGACACACTTTTCACTTACCTGCACTGTTCTCCTCCGGCATTACGGTGTGGCAGAGAGCAAGTAACCGAAGGAATTCATGCACTTTGGGATCGCCCAGTTTAATGGATTCCATCAGACTCTGGTCAAAGAACTGAAACGTTCTATCTGCTTGGGATTTGACTGAGAAATCCACAGGTTCTTTTTTCTGTAGAAGAACAACAATGACAACAGAAAGAACTATAAACCTCATTCCAACAATAATCTTTTAAAATTCAAAAATATTTCTTCCGAATATTTTTAGAGTTTGTATGATTCTGCAGCCTCAAATGTCTGGCACTAAAATGGCTGTTTCATCATTACTGTTAAATATAATCTTTTTATTTCAGAGTCATGCACCAAAGCAGTGAACCTACCAAAAGCATATGGGAAAGAAAAGTCTCCAGTGGCTGTACAGTTCCTCAAATACTCGTTGCATCTCCAAAATACAAAGAAAACCTAGAAAACTGACGGTTTTTTCAAAACCTGCTTGATAGCGAAACCTGACCTGGCTTGAGCTCATTTTGGCAGCGATATGCAACCTGGAATGGTATATGTCTAATTATAGACATTTCCCCCCCCCTTTTTTTTGTCTTTTTTTGTGACCGGTAACAGGATCGCAACCCTCGGTGTCGCGCCCGCACCGTGTTCCCCCTTTTTTTTTGTCTTTTTTTGTGACCGGTAACGGGATCGCAACCCTCGGTGTCACGCCCGCACCGTGCTCAACCAGTGAGTGGACTGGTCTCTATATGGGATCCAAACCCTTGGCGGGAGCGCCGACCTCTACCGAGTGTGCCACCGGGCCGGCCCCTAATTATAGACATTTTAAGCTCACTTAATACTTGTAATTAATATTATCCAATGCAAAAATATTAACGTGTTTGATTAT